TTTTTAGCTGAAGGCTGATTTGGTGTTAGAACTATTTCCAGGGAATTTTGCTGAAGTACAAAAAGTCCATCCATCTGCATATTCTCAAGAAATCTCTCTAAGAAGTGCCTTTCGCTGCTGTTATCTGGAAGCTTGCTGCACAAGAAGGATGGGTGTGAAGTCAATGAGAAGGTTTGATAGGGGCAGTCAGTGAGCAGGTGTTGTTATGTTATAGGTGTGTGTTATCCACAAACAGGAGGTGAGACTAGATGCTTCTAATGTCCTGACGTGGCCCTCCAAAGTAGGGAGTCCTGTTCGATGTATTAAGTATGTAGGAATGTCTGTGTGCGTCCCATCAATTCACAGAAAAACAAAGCAGTGTCAAGCATTACCAAGAATGCCAACTTGCCTTGTAGTTGGCCACTTAGGCTAAGAATTTCAAAGCCACCAAAGTGAGCTGGAATCCCAAATTGTGCCTCTAACTCAGTGGTTCTCAAGCTGTTTTTTGGGACCCCAAAGTGGGTTGTCAGGGCTGGCATTAGACTTCCTGGTGCCCAGGGACAAATCCTGAGGCTGAAGCAGTAGCCCAATCCCCACTACCTTGGGAGACGGGGGCTCAGGCTTCGGCTTTAGCCCTGAGCGGCAGTGCTCAGATTACAGGCCCCCTGCCCAGGCCTGAAGACCTTGGGCTTCAGCTTTGCCCCCCTGCCCAGCACAGCTGGTTTCCGGCAGGCTCAAGCTTTGGTCCCCCCTCCTGGGTCATGTAGTAATTTTTGTTGTCAGAAGGGTGTTGCGGTGCGATCAAAATATTTTGAAACACAACGTCAGGCTGAGAAAAGTGTTTCAAATGGTGAAAATTGTCAAGAATCCAGTTCTGCTGATTTCCCCACTGCTCCCTGATCTTCAAAGGAGCTCTGGCTGATGGACACTGGCTGCATGGCCAGCCCTCTGACGTTAACTGGCTACGCTGATTTATGCTGAATGGGATCTGGCCCATTCACATCAATGAAGTCACACCTGTTTACATCATGAGAGCACTTGGCCCGTTGGTTCCAGGGAAGCTGAGCTGATTCACACTGGCTGTGGATCCGGCTTTCTCTGACTCCTGGCACAGGCTGCAGGAGCGCAGCGTTGGGGCAGGTAGGAGCTAAGTGGCTGTAATTGTTTGTCCCACAGGTATGTTAAAAGGCTCAATTCTGTAAGGGTCAAAATGTCTCCGCTTCAGTCGGTGTGAGTGGGAATGGAGGTGACTGAACAGCTCCTTTGGAGATGCGTTTCGCACAAGACCAGCTCTAGGCACCAGCAGACCAAGCACGTGCTTGGGGTGGCACAATTCCAGTTCTGCTCCGGACTGGATTAACTGGATTTGTGACCAGACACCTGCAAATAGACAAATATTAAACATCTAGGCCAGGATTCAGCAAAGCATCTTCCGGGCTCTGGAAAATCAAAGATTGAACTGAATGTTCCCTTTGGCTGTATTTGTTTCCTTCTTTTATCCCAGGTGCCTCGGAGGTTCTTACCTGAGAGAGCTGCCAGCAGGGAAAGAAAAATGAAACACATCATAATATTTTTGAATCAGAAATCTACTGGAACAGACGAAGATATACAGCACTAAGTAGGGTACTTGGAGTGTGCCAGAGAAGGTGAAGTTCTCTGGCGCCTAAAAAAGAAGTTGCCCTACTTAATTTGCATGAGGCAGTTCAAAAAGCCTTTAAAGTCAGGCAGCAAACAAAGGGGTAGGAGAGAGGGAAGATGAGGTAACAATAGGAGTAGGTTTCCAGTTTACTTAGGTTAAGATTTCCCAACCTGCCTTTCTTCCTAATATAAACCAGGCAGCTAAATGCCTTTAGGTGGCTTTGAAAATCTCAGCCAGAATTAATACTAAAAACGGGGGAGGGCAAAAAACCCAACTGGTTTCAAGACTAAGCTTGATAAACTTATGGGGGGTGGTGGTATGATGAGATGGCCACATGCCATTGCAGGCACATCTACAACTGCTGGTAGCAAATATCCCCAATGGGCAGTGATGGGACACTAGACAGGGAGGGCTCTGAGTTACTACAGAGAATTCTTTCCGAGGTGTCTGGCTGGTGGGTCTCACCCACATGCTCAGGGTCCAACTGACGGATATTTGGGGTCAAGAAGGAATTTATTGATACTTCCCCCTGCCAGAGCCTTTCTCTGCTGGATTTAGCTACACAGGCAGACTATGTGGATGCAACCTATGTATTTCAGACCATCTCTCTGGTTTGTCAAGATCATTCTGAATTCTAATCCTGTTCTCTACAGTGCTTGCAATCCCGTCCAGATTGGTATCATCTCCAAACTTTATAATGTACTCTCTCTGCCATTATCCAAGTCATTTATGGAGCTATTGAATAGAACCAGACCCAGGACAGATCCCTGTGGGACCCCACTCAATATTCCCTTCCAGCTTGAGTGTGAATCATTGATAATTACTATCTGAGTACATTTTCTATCTAGTTGTGCACCTATCTTATAATAGATTCACCCAGAGTATATTTCCCTAATTGGCTTATGAGAAGTCCGCCTGGGACAGTATCACATTTCTTACTGAAACTGAGATATACCAGATGTACTGTTCCCGTCCCCCTCTCCCACCATCCACAAGTTTTGTTACTCTGTCAAAGGAGGATGTGAGGTGGGTTTCACGTGACTGACTTGTCACCTTATCTTGTAGGTACTTGCAAATTTATTATTTATTCCATTCTTTCTGAGTACAGAAGTTAAGTTTAGTGGTTTATAATTCCCGTGTTTCCCTTATTCCGCTTTTTATTGATAGGTACCACTTGCCCTCTTCCAGTCCTCTGGGATCTCTCCTGTCCTCCTCCGAGTTCTCAAAGATTATGGTTAATGGCGAGGATCTCTTTGGCCAGTTCCTTAAGTATTGTATGGTGTATTTCATCTGGCCCGCTGACTTGAGGACATCTAACTTGTCTAAGCAGAGGCGACGTGTGGGAACAATATAAATACCTACGACAGCTTGAGGGCTAGAGCTCAAACATGGCTTATAAAAAGACCTGCAAATTCATATCCTTAATACCCTGCCAAAGTTTTTTAATATCTGTGCACCTGCAGGGCTAGGACACAAGGAGGGGTCTGTGCAGCTAATGTCTAGACACCATGAGCGCTTTATCCAGCATCAACAGCATATTTTGGCTGAATTGTCTCTTCAGTCTAGTGGCCTTTAAAGGTATTATGGTTTCCTGCATTTTATAGGGATGTTTGGAAATATTGTGTATTATGGTCCTGGTGCAAAGTTCACTAAAGGCAAGGGGAGGACTTCCATTGGTCTGAGTTGGGTTTGGAGCAGGGCTCATGTGAATGTTGACTGGTATTTATCGAAGGGGACTTAGGGAGTGGGGTATCTAATTCTATTAACTTTACTCTTTGAAATTTCCAGATGCGATTCCCAACACTTTGTTCCCCCCTCCCCCTGCCCCAGGTGCCCAGTCACAGGCCCAGCTGGTAGAGTCTGGAGGGGATGTGAAAAAGCCCGGAGACGCTATACACCTGTCCTGTAAGACCTCTGGCTTCTTCATCAGTAACAACTGGCTGGATTGGTTCTGTCATGCTCCTGGAAAGGGACTGGAGTGGGTCTCCAGTATAGATAGTGCAGGTACCCCATATTACCTCGATTCACCATCTCCATGATGCATTTGCACATCAGCAGCCTGAACCCTGAAGTCACCGGCCTGTATCACTGTGCTAGAGATGTGGGATTCCACAGTGATTCAGTCCAATGCAAATGCCTTAATGGGATCCTCCAGTGGAGAAAGTCACTAAAGGAAGTGAAATACTCTGACTGCCTTCTGCTTCAGTCACAGCATACAAGAAATTCAGAGAATCCTAGAAAGGTGGGGCTGGAAGAGGGACTTGAAGAGGTCATCTAGCTGACCCACCTGTACCGGGGCACAATTAGATATGCCTAGACCACCCCTAGTGGAAGCTTTCCTCATCTGTTCTTAAAAACCTCCAGTGATGGGGATTTCACAACCTCCCTAGGTAAACGGTTCCAAATGCTGATAGTTAGATGTGCTTAGCCTTAGAAAGTTTCGCCCCCGCCCCCCGATATCTAACCTAAATCTCCCTTGCTGGATTTTTCATTTATTTATTTTCTAAAAGACATTGAACCATAGAGATGATAATTGCTAGTGATGGAGAATCCACCATGACCCTTGATAAGTTAATTCACCTCAATGTCTTTTTAAAAAAATCACCTTATTTCCAGCTGGACATTGTCTAGCTTCAGCTTCCAGCATTGGATCCTGTTATACCTTTGTTTGCTATACCAGGGTTTCTCAAACAGGGGTCACCGCTTGTGCAGGGAAAGCCGCTGGCAGTCCGGGCCAGTTTGTTTACCTGCCCCATCCGCAGGTCCGGCAGATCGCGGCTCCCACTGGCCCTGGTTTGCTGCTCCAGGCCAATGAGAGCTGTTGGAAGCGGCGTGGACCGAGGGACTTGCTGGCCACCACTTCCCACAGCCCCCATTGGCCCAGAGCAGCGAACCGCAGCCAGTGGGAGCCGCGATCGGCCGGACATGCGGACGGGGCAGGTAAACAAACCGGCCCGGCCCGCCAGGCGCTTTCCCTACACAAGCGGTGACCCCTGTTAGAGAAACCCTGTGCTATATTGAAGAGCCCATTATCCAATTTCTCGTCCCCATCTAGGTACTTGGAATGCGATCAAGTCACCTCTTAATCTTCTCTTTGTTGAGATAAAACAGATTGAGCTCTGGGAGTTTCTCACTGTAAGGCAGGTTTGTCTAATGCTTTAATCGTTCTGGTGGCGCTTCTCTGAACCGTCTCCAATTTATCAACATCCTTCTTGACCTGCAGCCACTGGAAGAGGACACAGCATTCCAGCAGCTGTCGCACCAGTGCCAATAACAGAGGTAATATAACCTCCGATTCCAACTGGAGATTCCCCTGTTTACCGGGTGTAGCCTTTTAAGGAACTACGTGACTTTCTTTAAAATTGTCCATGGGAATAGGATATTGCAGGAACTGTGCCTTTTTTAATACCTCTCTGAGGCCATGACTCTTACACTAGGCTTTTCAAGCCCCATTGAGAATCCCAGCCAATATGGCTACACACGTGAGTAAAGGTCAGCATGGGTGTGAGTATTTCCAGGACCGGGGGCTGAGTTTTGCTGTGACAATAGGACATTTTAAGGGCTCTACATATTTGATACCAGTCAACAATGACTTCCTCTTTCAGGGAGGTTTATGAATGGCCATGAATGTGTGTTTTCTCACTGTGTCTCTTGCACAGTAATACACAGCGGTGTCTTCAGATTTCAGGCTGTTCATCTGGAGATACGTTGTGCTGATGGAGGTGTCCACGCTGACGGTGGTTCGCCCTTTCAGTGCCTCAGGGTAGAAAGTGTTGAAATTGTCCGTCCTAATCGTTGCTACCCACTCCAGGCCTTTCCCCGGAGCCTGCCGGACCCAGCGCATGGAGTAGTCAGTAAACGTGTAACCGGACGCTTTGCAGGTGAGCTTCACAGACTCTCCAGGCTTTTTCATTTCTGCCCCAGACTGAACCAACTGGATTTGGGACCGGACACCTGTGGATAAACAGGAAGAATGCGTAAGCATCTGTTTGACTTCTCCACCTTTCCCCTTGTAATTCAAAAAACCCCTCTGTAAAATATTGATAGTAACCCTGTCTTTCTCCCACCCTTTATCTACCTTGTCTTTTTAGATTTTAATCTTTTTAGGGCAAGAACAGTTTCTGTCTGTCTGCACAGAGCCCAGTGAATGGGGCTTTGATACCATAATACGGCTTCTGAGAAATGCATGGCTCTTTTTGGACATGCTCACCTGTTAGAGTTGCTAGCAGGAAGAGAAAGCAGAGCAGAGGGGCCATGGTTGTCATTCTCAAACACCAGCTTCTGTGGAGCCAGAGAGCAAATTGCCTTTGCAGGTGAGTTTTTCTTCGGAGGTTTTAAACAGGCGATGCCCCTTCTTCATTTGCATGTGGACAGTGCAGTGGACTTAAAAGTCCTGCAGGCTGAAGAGCTAGGGCTGGCTTGGTGCATCAGTGCAGCTTGTCAGCCCGATTATTTCTGTTACGTGATCCCACTGCTCTTCCGTCTCATCTCGTCTGTTCTTCTGCATGGTGCTTGGTCGTCTTTGGCACAGAAAGCAACTCTTGAGATCTAGGGGAGTAAAGGGCTTTAGGCCCTCAACTCCCATTGCCTTACAATGGGACTTGGGCACCTACCTCCCTTAGGTTCATTGTGCTTGGTGGAGGGAAAAGAGAACCTCTATTCTACCTTAATTGAATTCCAACATGTCATATTAGAGCTCCTTGCCTTATTTGAGCTTTATTTGTGATCTTTGCACTTCTGGCTGGAAAGTATAAGATTTACAAGTGCCCTGTGTTGTAAAGAACAGATGAACTAGTTCTGAGGCGCACTGAGGATGGACTAGATGGGGGGCAAAAGAGGTTACAGAATTCAGGAGAAACACCCCAAGAAATGGGAGACCCCAACGGTCCATCTTGTTCAGTCTATTTTCTCCAGCACCAGCTGCTTCAGAGGAAAGTGCATGAGACCCTCTTGCAGCCCGTTCTAGAATACTCTGCACACGAGGGGAAACTTCTTTCCAACACCTCCTTGGTTCTGCGTCTGTGCATCGGTTTTTGTGTAGGTGGAGGGGGAGATCACCAAGCTGGGAGCACCAAGGAGCTTAGGGATGTTAGACCCTGAAATAAATGGTATTTATGTGCTCAGTACCCTGAGCCTCCTTTCACAATCCCAGCCTGGCACTGGGGCCGAGTGAACTTCACAGTGAGAATTCAGGCACTGGGAAGCTTAGGTGCCTACAGGATTGGGCAGCAGCTGAATGGGGGTTTTGTGAATCTAGCCCTGAGGCGTCAACACTTTCCCTTGTGCGGGTGAATCGTTCCATTGAACTCAGGAGCTAGGAACTGCAAAGGAACCCAAGGGAACTAGGCACCTAACTACCTGTGAAGTTCAGTAGGATTTGGGTACCTAACTCCCTTAATTCCCACAGAGAATCCCAGCCCATGTGACTACTCATGTGAGTAAAGGTAAGCATGTGTGTAAGTGTTTTCAGGATCAGGGCTTTAGATTTGCTGTGACATTAGGGCATTTGGAGGGCACTGCATTTTTGATACCACTGTCAGCAACAGTGAGCCATTTCTGTCGGGGTTTATGAATGGCCAGGGATGTGTCTTTTCTCACTGTGCCCCTTGCACAGTAATACACAGCAGTGTCTTCAGATTTCAGGCCGTTCATTTGCAAATACGCTGTGCTGAGGGGGACATCCATGCTGATGGTGGCTCGCCCTTTCAGATTTTAGGGATAGAAGGTCTCGAAAGTATCTGTCCTGATGGATGCTACCCACTCCAATCCTTTCCGAGAGCCTGTCGGACCCAGCTCATTCGATACTCATTAAACGTGTAGCCGGACGCTTTACAGGTCAGCTTCATAGACTCTCCAGGCTTTTTGATTTCTGCCCCAGACTGGACAAACTGGATTTCGGACCGGACACCTGCTGATAAAGAGCAAGAATGAATGAGTCCTTTAGGTGCCCCACAGTTCCCCCCACTCTGCCAGACACCCACCCTTAGTCTGCCTTGTCTAGTCAAGGTGAGATTTTCAAAGCCAGCCAGCGCATACGGCTGTCCAATTCCCACTCATATAAATGGGAATGTGGGGCCAACCCCCCAGGCAGCTTTGAAAATCTAAAGCCAGGCAGTTCAGGAAGAGCGATTACATCTCGCTTTGTACAGGGCCTATCACAAGAGACCAGTCTCATCTGGCTCTTTGAAATATTACTGTTCTAATATCAACTGTAAGGTCAAAGTTAATACTAATTCCACTACTATTACTTTTGCTAATGCTATTTCTATGTCTCCTAGGGGATTTGAATGCCAATTCCCACTAATTTGAATGGGAATGGAGTGTTCCAATCCTTTAGGCAGCTTTGAAAGTCTGACTCCAAACAACATAAGATGCCTTTGCTCATTCTTACCTGATAACACTGCTGCTAAGAAGAGGAAGTTTAGCAAAGGGGTCATGGTTGCTTGGATAAAAGAGCGTCTGAGGAGGAAAAGGAAGCAAATTCCTTTTGCTGGTAACAGTTCCCACTGAGGCTTTAAAGAGGAAATGGCTCTAGCTCATTTGCATATGGGTAATGCTGTAACCTTAAAAGTCACGGAGCGTGACAGGGTGGAGTTTGTCTGATGCACTCTGGAAAGCACTAGATTAGATGTGACGTAGCAAAATTTTCTGTGCAGGGAATGTACCCTTTCACTTTTGTCCTGCACAAAGAGATCTTTGGGGCAGTGCTGCAAATATCAACTACTCTCATCCTTTGGAAAGACGGGGTGAAGCCAAGGCACGGATGATTCGTCTAAGACCACGCATGGTATCTGTCAGACTAGAGTTTTGTAAATGAACCCGGATTCCCTGGCTCTCAGACCAGTGCATAAACTGCAACCTTGAACTCTTAAAGCAGAAAAGTGTCCAGAATTATCATACTTAATGGCAACAGAAACTCTGGAAGGGCTGTTAAGCCTCTTGCTTCAGAGTTGAAGCCAATCTCTAGTTATTAGACACCAGGATGAGACCTACTTAGTGACAGATTATACCACATCTGCCTACGGAGTGGTTCTTACAGCCTCCTCTCAACATCTGAGGCTGACCCCCATGTAGGTACTGCATAATCCTGGTGAATAGCTAACAAGGACCATAGGAAGAGGTATAGTAGATTTCACCGTGGACATGTTAGCATAATTCACATCGACAGAAGGTGTGGCTTTGTCCCACAGAATTAGTTTGAATTATGGTAGCACCTAGGGGCCTAATTGAAACTGGGACCCCCTGTACTTTGGTACTAATATATACATAGATATTCCCTTTCCCAAAGAGTTTATGCTGTGAATAGACAAGGGATGGGAGGGAAATCAGAAGTTCAGTGGCTTATGAATACATCAAGGGGTGGGGTCAACATCGAGGAGGGAGAAGAACTGTTAAGGCTAAAGGATAATGTTGGCACAAAGAACAAATGGAGACAAACTGACCACGGACACATTTTGATGGGAAATAGATTCTAACCTTTGAAGGGGTGAGGGTCTAGCCCAGCCTCCCACTAGAGATAGTGGGGCCAAAATAACTAAGTCATTTTAAGATGGAGATTGATGAATTTATGAGCCGGGTTATGTGACAGGATTGCCTGGGAGAGATGGAACTGGACTCAATGACCCAGGAGATCCCTTCCTGCCGTGCGTTTCGATGAGTTTCCCAAGATCACACAGCCCATGCACGGCAGAGACAAGAATAGACGTCAGTTCTCCTGCCTCCTAGCTACGTTTGGAAGTATTAGACTTTTATCAGTAAATGTTGATTTCACTGTACACACACAGACCAAAAATATTTCCATTGATAATAGTTGAAATTTACAGATAGACAAAGTAAGAGAAATGCTGCTTGTGAACTTAGTTTGATTTAAGAATATTTACATTGTATATTTTGACATGATGTTGACAATTTGTGTTTAACACTTTAACTTTTTAAATCTCAACATCTACCATTATTTAATGTGTCCAATCCCCCAACTGTGAAAATTTAGATAAAAATAAAAAAAAGTAAAATAAATATTGATATCTGAAATTATAGCAAAATAAAAATTGAAACCTACCAAGCCAACTCATATTCCAGTACCCTGTTCACTGGATCAATTTTATGAGTAGTAAGAGACTCCTGATGTTTCAGGCTAAGTACCTTCATGGGGAGAAAATGTCAGGAGCTAAAGGGATCTTTTAACATTCTGGATAAAGACATAAGAACCAATGACTGGAATTTAAAGCCAGACATTCCAAGTAGAAATCCAAATTTTTGACAGGGAGGATGATTAACTTTTGCAACAAGGAAATGGAAGATATTCCATCTCTCAAGGTCTTCTGATCAAGAGAGGATGCCTTTCTGGAAGATACTTTAGTCAAACACAAATTACTGGGCTCAATCCAGAGGCAATTGGATGAAATTCTTTGGCCTGGGTGTCAAGGCTGCTTCCCCACTTTGAACTTTAGGGTACAAATGTGGGGGCCTGCATGAAAACTTCTAAGCTTAACTACCAGCTTAGATCTGGTCCGCTGCCACCACTCCCAATGTGCTAATTCCCTTCCCTGGATAGCCTTGAGAGACTCTTCACTAATTCCCTGGTGAATACAGATCCAGACCCCGTGGATGTTAAAACAAGGAGAAATTAACCATCCCCCCTCCTTTCTCCTACCAACTCCTGGTGGATCAAGATCCAACCCCCTTGGATCTAAAAACAAGGAAAAATTAATCAGGTTCTTAAAAAGAAGGCTTTTAATTAAAGAAAAAGGTAAAAATCATCTCTGTAAAATCAGGATGGGAAATAACTTTACAGGGTAATCAAACTTAAAGAGCCCAGAGGACCCCCCTCTAGCCTTAGGTTCAAAGTTACAGCAAACAGAGGTAAACACCCTAGTAAAAGGTACATTTACAAGTTGAGAAAACAAAGTTAAAACTAACACGCCTTGCCTGGCTGTTTACTTACAAGTTTGAAATATGACAGACTTGTTCAGAAGATTTGGAGAGCCTGGATTGATGTCTGGTCCCTCTTAGTCCCAAGAGCGAACAACCCCCAAAACAAAGAGCACAAACAAAAGCCTTCCCCCCCAGATTTGAAAGTATCTTGTCCCCTAATTGGTCCTTTGGGTCAGGTGTCAGCCAGGTTACCTGAGCTTCTTAACCCTTTACAGGTAAAAGGATTTTGGAGTCTCTGGCCAGGAGGGATTTTATAGTATTGTACACAGGAGGGCTGTTACCCTTCCCTTTATAGTTATGACACTGGGTTATGGAGAAGATC